AGCTCCAGCTCGGCGACGACGGGGAGGTGGGCTTGCAGCCGCCCGGCTTTTCTTCGTCGGGCCGTGCGGAGCGCTGAGCCCCGGTCCTTCCCGGCCCGCGGGTCCCTCCCAGTGCTGCCTCCCCCGGGGACCGTTCAGCACCCCGGCCTCGAGAAGGCGGACTTTGGAATGCGCAGATGTGGCCGGCAGTGGACACTCTTGCTCCGTATCGCAAAACTTCGGGGCCTCGTCTCTTGGCGGAAATGGGGATTCTTGCCAAAGAGTATAGCACCTTCTGCAGGAAGTTGACGCGGTTACCTGGGAGACCGAAAGTTGCCCTAGGGCAAGCGCAGCGCAGAGACTGGAGAGCTTCGGGGCGAGCTGGAAATGCGGGCTCCGAATGGGCAGGTTCAAGCCCGGGACTCCGGGCCGCGGGTACCAGCGTTTCCCCTGCCCGCCGCGAGCTGGGGACTCTCCAGCGGGCTCTGGGGACAAACTGGCATTGAATCAGCAGGTGCACCCTGAGGCCAACAATGCCTAGTAGCTGGCAGTCATCACTTGGCATCTGGGGAGCAGAGCAGCTATGCGTTTTCTCCTCGATGCCGAGATGGAGGAAATTGGTGGAGCTTGGTAGGAAATTAGCAGAATTAGCCAAAGAGAGCCTGCAAATAATGCAAAGCAGCACCACTCGGTGCTGAACCGGAACAAAGACTCCTAGGAGTCCCAAATGCCAGGGTGAACTGCAGCTTGCAGAGAGGACTGTTGCAGCAGGAAATAATAGCGACGTCCATTTTAAAGACGAGCACATCTTAAACCTCTATGCCAGACCACTCGGTTTTCTGGACTGACTTTATTTATTAAAATTTCATTTTAATTTCTATTAGTACATGTTTGCAGTGCATAATGCTTACTTTCAATAGTGGGGAGTTGGTGCATATACATAACACATCGTGATCCTTTTTTTTTTTTTCTCAACAGAATGCAGGGTTTTATTTGCTGCTACTCTGTAGGTAGCAGTAAGCTTTCCAATTTGAGTAGTCCTGATTAATAATTTAAAAAAAAAAGACAAGAAAGTATAAAGTGTTTCCACAAAATCCACAAGTCTGGAAAAAAGACTATAAGATTCACCTCAAAACACACTCTGGAAGCACGTGCAGCATCCACCTATCCAATGTCACACTTGTTTGTCCTTTGGCATGGGAATTAAAACTGACCAACGCTGAAACCCATTGCTAAAATGGGCCACTACCAAGGAAGTCAGAGGTGGTTCTGCAGGAACATCTCATGCTCTGAAATATGTCTGCCTCATTTTCTGCTTCAGAAAACACCAAACACACCCAAGGCCACCCTGTCCTCTACTACCAAAATTTGCTGCTGACAACTTCCAAAGTCATCTGATACCATTTGGAATTGATTGTGCTGTTTCTCTATCTTTGTAAAAATAAATCTCACTTATTTTGTGTTGAGAATTACAAACGGGAGAGAGGCATTCTGTCTTCCACTAGCACAGTGTCCTTCCCAAACTGGTCAGTGCACCGCTTCACAGTGGCTAGGACACTCAGCAGCTGGTGGTTCACAGCATCCAGATGAGGATTGGAGAGCACCGGGGAGATGGGGTTATGGGCCAAGATGTTTAGCGAGGAGATTCCATCATTCCACACATTGTTCCATTTCTTCACTAAAGGGCCTCCACTACTCCTGTCCGGCCCTAGGCTAGCTCCATGGCCGCCAGCCCGGTGCGGTATGCGCGGCTAAGCCGGTAGCCCCCGCCTCCTCCGGGGAGGGGCAGCCCCACGCCGCTCTCACAGCCCCCAGCCTTCGCCACCTCTGCGGTTCCCGCCCATCCCCATAGTGATTCTTTTTACTTCGCCTTCTCCAAGAGATGGAGGAAGGAGAAGAGAGAGATTTTCTGGGTTTAGGACAATCTCAAAATAATGCAATCTTTGCAGTTGGTAGTCTTAAAAGAGTTGAAAACGCTACTAGTCAAAACAGACAGCTGATCATAAATGAACTGCTTGTGAGAAGACACAAAGGAATGCGAGTCAAAGACCTGAACTAGGCTGGCATCTGCTGTGCCCGCTTCTTGTCTCATGACAGTGTCAGCTATGACACCGAGGGAACATCAGATGACATAAGTGTGGAGCTGCTGCTTCACTGAGTCCACAGATAACCAAACTATAGAAATACACTTCCTAGAAGAGAACAAAGAATGTCTGAAAGGGAAACAGTTACATATTCAATTGCTGTACTTGTGCTGCTTAATAGCTGGCGGTGGTTTGACCCATAGAGCTAACTTCAGTTCTCAAAAGCAGCTGGAAATACAAAGGATTTAGAAACTTTATAAAAACAGATAAGACGCAGCTAAACTCTAGGAGGAAATATGGGCTGGGAATTGTAAAACAGAACTTCAGTTAGCTCCCTGGGTTTTCTAGGGAGTGGAAAGAGTTTGAAGGCAATGCCTTAATATAACTTTCTAAGATCCCTGCCCTTGCTTCTGCCAGATATGATGTTTATTCATCTGTCATTCTTCCTTTCAGCAAATATTTCTTGAACTTCACGGAGAAGCTTTCACATATAACATTTCAGTTAATCCTCAGAGTAACACTCTGAGTTCCACCTGAAACCCCTTTTAAGATGGGAGGTTTAAGACAGAATAAGGAACAATTTGTTCAAGGGCAGTCAGCGAACTGGCACCTATAGATGGGCAGCATAACAGTAGCCCAAGAAACCAATGAAAGTACAAAACTACATTTTCAGTCACCCCCACCGAATCAGTTCCTGCACATACTTCCATTGTTGTAAAGAAGCGCAAGGGGCATCCATAAAGAAGGAGAAACTAGAGTTATTTATAGCTCAATGAGTGCCCACTGAGGCCATACTCTTAAGTGAAATAAACAGGACTCACATGGGTAAATACTGAAGTTTCTCTGGTGTGAGAAAGTAAAAAGTGTAAATAAGGATCAAAATGTATAACAGATAATGTGAAACAGGAAGAAAAAGTTTAAAGGGGAAGAGGAAATGGGAAGAATGGAAAAAGAAAAAAGAAAGGGAAAAAAAGAAGGGAAAGGAAAAATATGAGAAAAGGCAAAACTGGAAGCAAAGTCTTTGTAAATAGGGAGGGGTGGTGGGTTGAAGGGAGGGCAGGGGAATGGGGAAAAAAAAAGAGCCAAGATACATCATGTAAAGGTACAAGAGCCCAATGATAAATGTCATCATCTTGTATACCTAAAATGTACCAATAAACTTAATGAAAAAAAAAAAAGCGGAGTGGAGCATTGACTGTGTGTTGCTGATAAGAAAGGCTCAGTCTTTATTCTGTTCCAGCTTTGTTTTCATTTGCTCTTTTGCAAAATACAGTTTCCAAATGTGACTCTGCAGCAAGAATCTGAGGAATACAGAAACAGAACAGTTTGACACATAAAGCAAGAGCCATTTGGCTTTAATGCCAGTGGCTCAGCAATTGATCCGTCAGCCCTGAGAGCCTTGAATCAAAGTTTGTTTGTAAAAATATACCTCTTCTTACATTTATGAGGCTTAATTTCATTGGAGTTTCCCTGGGAATATCGTAAGCAGGATTTACACAAAGTAGGGTGTATATCAGGGGGTAAAGACAAAAGGTCTGACAGGACTTTCTGAGTCCATTAGGCTTCTTTGGTGACAGATTACAGACATTGTCATGGTTACTCAGGTGCATTTCACAAAGAGCATAGTTACTTAGTTGACCGATGGTTATCCAACAACACAGTTAACCCTTAGTTGGCCAATTCCATATAGAAGGGTGGAAAAGAAGAAAAGGGCTGGAGGCGTGATGCCTCTGTATTCAGTCTCCTGGATCACACATACACAGAGGTCTAGTAGGCTTTTCTTAGACTTCAAATAGTTGGAAAAATCACATTCATCAAAATAAATCAAGTGTTTGATTAGTTGAGCACAAGCAGCTGCTTTTTTGACTCTGAATCCCCCTCACTCTCTCTTTTTCTTGTTGAACTCAGGACCTTGCATTTGCCAGGCAGGCACGATGCCACTGAGCTACATATCCAACCCAGCAGTTGCTTTTTGTTTTTTATTTTCTTTTTTTCAGAAGAAGACTGGAAAAACAAACAAACCAGAAACCAGAACAAATACAGATTAATCCTTTAAATTACTTTCCTCAGAGGATTAAGAGAGACTGCCTCATGCTGCCTGCTGGGTAAACTGAGCTCCTGATTTGCTGATGTTCTTGGATTGGTTGTTATCAGTCTCTAAAACTTTGAGTCTGAAATTATATCTACTTTGGTCCTTGTCTTAGTCACTTTTCTCATTGCTGACACAAAGTACCTGACACCCAAAGTTAAAAGGGAAAAGATTTATGTAGCTCACAGTTTCTAGAGGTTTCAGCCCATAATCAGCTGCCCATAATTGGTAGGGTGGCACATGGCAGAGGGGCAGCAGTTCATGATGGATCAAAGGTAGCAAAAGCAACAGGAGATCTTAACAGCATCTTTCTGCCCCTTTTATTGTATTCAGACTACTTAGGGTGGGTGGCACTCACACCCCAATCCTAACACTTTGGGCCTAAGCACTACACCATGAATCACACTCTAGATTGAGCCACCTCTGAAAAAGCCCCACCTAAAACTACACGAGGCTTTGGGGAGACATCCAGACCCAAACCATAACACTCTCCAACATATCCCGGCATAGGTAGAATGCCTGGAATGTTGAAGTCACTCAAATTACTGATCTATAAATGACTGCACAGATTCAAGGATTAAAAATGTCTACCAGATCCAACAACCACAGTTGTCATCAGAGGTAGAGCAGTTCTACAGACAGAGGGGCACCAAAGCCAGATTACTGTAGATTAACAGTAAATGGCTGGGTGTGGTGGTGCACAACCCAGCACTTGGGAGGCTGAGGCAGGAGGATCACTGCAAGTTCGAGGACAGCCTAGACTAAATAGTGAGTTTAAAGCCAA